AGGTTGCTTGCTGATTCTTGCTTCTGACTTAACAATGCAGCAATCTTACTAATTTTAGGTTGGAATGAGTGCTTCGTCTGAAGAGGTCGATGACACTTTGCCTTCCTCTTTATTTTCTTCTTCGATCCTACGGCCTTCGGTGTTGTCAGACAAATTAAAAGCGGTTGGTGCTGATATGAAAACGTCAAAATTCGAGTCTTCTGCGAAGCCATCAAAATCACTTGTAGAAGCTCCTAATTTCGTAGCTACACGTTCTATTCCCGCTTCTGCAGAACCCACCAACTCTCCCGGCTATGTTTTTGGTCAAAATATGGGTTCCCGAGTTGTAAACGCAGATCAAGGGGCTTCAGAAAACATTTGGCAGGCTATTAAATCAGATAGCTATAGTAAAGAGTAAGTCGTGTGGGTCTGGCTCCGTTTTTCACTTCTGTTTTATTTGTTCTTAATTTTTGGTCTTAGTCAGTCAATATTTATTCCTATCTTCACTTTACCGATTTAGAAATCAGGAGGACTCCAGTACTTCTGTGTTTACAACTCTTGCGAAGGCAGTGGCCAGCCATTCAAAGCAGAAGGAGGGAGAGCTTCTAGAAGACTCCGCTGTGGCTTTGGCCAGAAAGCGCAACGCTGCTCAAATTTCGCTACCATCTAATGTCAATGGCGATCAATTCGAGATTATCACGGGCGAGGAGGGTGAACGAACGGCGCTTGAACTTACCTGCAACGCTTACGTCTTTGATCGCGAATCGAAGCAATGGAAAGGAATTGGACAGAGCTACCTTCACTTGAATGACACTACTCTCACTGATCGCAAAACTTCGCGTCTTATTATCCGTTTGCAGTCTACTCGACGTGTGGTTGTGAATACCCGCATCTGGTCGGAGATGCCAGTAGCCTACGTGGGGGAGAACAAAGCGGTGCGAATTGGAGCGCTAATAGTCGCAGGACAGGGTCAGACAGAAACTGAGGGTGCCATTCGCACCTACATGCTACGCTTCACTACCGCCGATTCCGCACGCTTTCTCTTTGAGGCACTGCAGGAGCGTCGGCTTTCCGCAGAGAAGTTGGAGACCTTTGTTAAACGACCTCGCCTAGAGGAATCGCTGTCACCCATGGTTGAAGAAAATAGCGTTGCGAAGATATCTAACCCTTCGCACAGTATGTCTCTCCTTCTCCTAAATCTTCGCATTGTAAGCGTATTTTGCTCTACAATCACTATCATTACATCTTCTACCGGGCCAACTTATTTCATTGTCGAAATGTATATGTCAACTCTTCTCATTAGTTCTGATTCTATCCAATTTCGACTTATGCGATAGAATAATAGTACCCTTAAATTTTCTTAACCAATCATTTTCCTGCATATTATTAGTTCCAAGGGTGCATCACATACTTCCCTTAATTAATATTTTTTTCCCGTTTTTGAGATGGATCAGATGTATTCCATGCGGATGAATCGATTCTGTGCGAACATAAGGAAG